CCCCAAAACCCCAAAACCCCAAAACCCCGAAAATGGTATATTAAGATTTTGAAGAAATATTAAGGAAATTAAAAGTTTTTTTAATACAATAGCATTAAAATTAAATTTATAAATAATAATATAGTAGGTGCTATTATCATTATTCCAATTTCCTTAACTTATAAAATGTTATCCCATTATAAATGAGTTAGTATTTCTCTTAAGTGTATCATTTATAAAATCATAGTTTTTTAAGATGATGAGAACTCGAGCTTATCATTTAAAATCCCTGCTTGATTCTCATTCTACTTTAGCTTCGAATTTCCCTTTGATGAAAGTCTACATTCTCTGAATTGAATTATTTTTCTAGAGTTTAAATTTTATTTATGCCAGTTTATGTATTTCTTTATTGCATATTTTCATGTTTACTAGCTGAATCCATTACTTAGTATTTAGTATGATCAAAAGTCTCTGATTTTTCATATACATCTATAGATTAAAGTTAGCTATATTTGGGTTCTGGTTACTCTATACTAATACTACACTCATTAAAGTTGATGCTTTAAAACCCTTCTATTTCATTTTATGATTCCTTTTTCTATTTAATCAGAAATCTGGAGTATTTTGTCTGACTGTTTAAATTAATTGATGATTCGATTTCTTGGTCTAAAAGTTAATCAATTCTTCTGATTCTATCTTGTCTTTCAAAATACTTCTATACATATAGTTTAATTTGAGACTTAGGTCTTTTTTATTAGTCATGTGCAGATCCCTAGTTGCTATTATTGTAATTAGAGTATTATCTTTCATTAGGATCTTATTAATCGTGAGAATTAATGTTATAACTGTAATAATTGTTTTGTCTGCGAAGCGTATTCGCAGATTAAATGCTCTGATGTAAGCAAGTATTTGAGGAAATTATGTTCAGTTAAGTGTCACCAGTACTTAGGTTATTACCGTATGATGAAGTAACTCTCAATAAATTTTTATTTTGAATAGGTTTGAAATTTTAGATAGGCAAATCACACTGACTATTTAGAATAATTGATTTATTGGAATTAATAGAAAGCCCTGAATTTCCTTTCGATATCAATTTTCTATTACCTGTGATCTTAAGTAAGCTATTATAATTCAAGTGTGTTTTCCTTCTAAAAGTACTTCTTGGAGATTAAGAAGCAGAGCTAGAGTATTAAGAATCAGAGCAGCTGTGTTAAATAGAACTCTAAAACATGTCAGTCTAGTTTTCGTCAGAGCTGCCATTATTTTATTATAATAATTCATTTCCTAGAGTATCAGTTAATTCACTCATTTCAGTGATAGAATCAATATTGTAATGAGATGTGATTCCTGAATTATTTTTGGATTTTATCATTTCTTTTTATATTTTTTATCCTTAAATGATATGGAGAGAATTTGGAACCAGCAAATGAGGACTTGTGTCGCTAGCTTATTTGAGTGTAGTTTCCAGTTCTTAAACGAGGCCCAAAATATTTACGTTTATCTTGCCAGTATTAACAGGCATGACTTTATTATCTACAAGAACACGTTCTATAGAGTTCTATTAAGTTCTTATTGCCATCTTTATATTTTTTCGTTTGATTATGTCAGGTATTTACTTCCTTTGCATTTGTGGAGATTACTTATTTGATATTGATATAATTAATTAATCTTATCTATTTATTTAGAGGTACACTAGTCAATTTACATTAAGAAATTACCGTACACGGGGTTTTGGGGTTTTGGGGTTTTGGGGTTTTGGGG